AAAGAAAGAAAGAAAGAAAGAAAGAAAGAAAGAAAGAAAGAAAGAAACAAAGAAAGAAAGAAACAAAGAAGGAAAGAAAGAACCATTCTTCGTGAATGGTTGTTGTGGTTATGTGCTGTGATTTGGCCTCATACAAAATCTCTTCTTTCAAAAAGAAAGAATGTCTAAACAGAGTTTATCTTTGAGAGAGCCATGTTCTCTGAATACATTGTAATGAATGTATTCACCCCAAACCAGCACCAATTCTGCCCAAACTTTAACAATGTAGCAGACTGCAAAACCAAAAATAAATTTTCTTTCTCTAAAACATGGAAAATGCTGCTGCTTCTTTAATATCTATTGTAGCTTTAGCTGACTTTATCCTGGAATTTCAGCTTTTGTCTCATGTACTTTGGACTGCTTTGGGCTTTTGAAGTCCCAACATGCAAATACATGGATTCTTGTACTGGTATATGGTGAATACTTCTTGTGGTTTCATCTGAAACTTCAGTCTGTCCACCACATCTCTTTTCTCAAGAGATTATTCTGGCTTGACAAATAATTTTTTAGTATAACTATATTTTCCAAGCTTCATTGACACGCATCATTTCTTCTTCTTTGCACAGAAGCCATCTAGGTACCCGTATATGTGCTATGATAACTCCCTTTTATCTCTTCCTATATATATCCCATAGTGAATGGAAATTTATGGCAAGAGTTACCAATGTGCTTTCAAGTAAAGCAGATCTTGTTTAAGACTGAGAGATTTCCCATTGAAGTGGCTTTCTTTCCCCAGTCAGTTGCAGTGACTTCTCAGCTTGAAGATGAGATGCCCTGGGCATTTTTCTCAAGTGACATTTCTTTATTTTTTGCATAGCAAGGCAAGAGTGAAAGATTATAGCCTAAGTAGCTTCCAGTTATATGCTGAATGATGCAGTGGTAACAAATGGATCAAAGCAAACACTGAACATATTGCACTTCTGGATTAAGGAAATTATTGTTGCACAGTTTATTGGCATTGAAGATAAAAAGACCAGAGAGTGTTGTCCTGTAAACAGTTTCTAATGGCATTTAATTATTACAAATGGTGCTAACTCCTTAGTAAAATAGCTGGTTGTGAATTCCTTTCTAAAAAACAAGGCTGCCGTTATAGGATAACAAGGGGTAGTTTTGAAAAACCTTTGCCCAGTGTGTGTGTGAGAGAGAGAGAGGGAGGGAGGAATGGGGAGAGAGGGAGGGAGAGGGAGGGAGAGGGAGAGGGAGGGAGAGGGGGAGAGAGGGAGAGGGAGAGAGAGAGGGAGAGAGAG